TTTTATGCGAGCAAATACTGGTAGCCAGTGCAAATTGATAAACAGAGGTATGACGTGCATTCTTTTTGGCTCATAAAAAATAATCATGCTGCCGCGTTCTGGATTAATTGTAAAGGTTTGATAGAAGTGTCTGCAAGACCTGCCTAGAGAGCATTGCAATAGTCCAGCCTGGACAGAACAAGAGCTTTAACAAGGAGTTATGTTGCATGTTCTGAAAGAAAGGGCCTGATCTTCTTGATGTTGAATAAAGCAAATCTGCAGGACCAGGCAGAGGTAAGACTCAAACCACTGGAGTGCGGTTCCTGAGATGCCCTTATCCAATAGGGTTGACAGGAGGATCTGGTGGTTAAACATGTCAAAAGCAGCAGACAGATCCAGCAAGATATGTATTGAGGATTTGGAAGCCGCTCTTGCCAGTCTTAGGGCTGCAACAACTGAGAGCAAGGCAGTCTCGGTTGAATGTCCACTTCTGAAACCAGACTGGTTGCTGTCGAGGAGGTTGTTCTGTGTGAGAAAGGCAGAGACTTGGTTGAACACAGCTCGTTCAAATGTTTTTGCAATGAAAAGAAGAGAAACCGGTTTGTAGCTCTCTAAAAGAGACGGGTTAAGGGTGGGTTTATTAAGTAGTGTGGTTATAAGAGCCTGTCTAAATGTGGAGGGAAAAACACCAGTGTGAAGAGATATGTTAACGATGAGAGTGAGTGCAGGTACAACTACAGGAGAAATTGCTTGAAGGAGATGAGATGGAATAGGATCAAGCGGACAAGTAGTAGGATGATTAGAAAGGATGAGCTTGGATATATATACAGTGGGTACGGAAAGTATTCAGACCCCCTTAAATCTGAATTTTAAGCATCATTAATCCAGTCTTCAGTCACATGATCCTTCAGAACTCATTCGAATATGCTGATTTTCTGTTCAAGAAACATTTATTCTTATTATCAATGTTGAAAACAGTTATGCTGCTTAATACTATTTATTGAATTTTTTGATGAATAGAAAGTAAAAAGAGCAGCCTTTATTTAAAATAAAGATGTTTTAACATTATAAATGTCTTTACTGTCACTTTTGCTCAATTTAATGTGTCCTTGCTGAATAAAAGTATACATATTTTAGTCAGTGTAAAATCAGTTTCTGTTGATTCACGTGCAGTACTCATGTTGGTCTACGACTGTTTAAGTCTGCTTTTGTACTAGACCTCAAAGCTTTTACACAACCTTATAATGCAAAACTCTCCGGTAACACTTTTTTTCGATAGTCCACTTTAGACATTCTATTAACAGTAAGTAACTTTGCAACTACATGTCAACTAGCAGTTAGTAGAGTATTAGTAGACTGTCTGCTTAATATCTTCTAACACTTTCTTTGTCAACTTATTCTACTAACCCTAAACCTACCCTAACAGTCTACTCTGAGAGTTAGTAGACATGTAGTTGCAAATTAATGAGAATTAGTTGACATGTAGTTGACATGTAGTTACAAAGTTACTTATAGTTAGTAGAATGTCTAAAGTGGACTATCGAAATAAAGTGTAACCAACTCTCCTTCAGTCCCCCCACAATACATTTGATCAGTTTGTTCTCATCACAGTCTGTGCCCTTCACACAGTCAGCAAGAGCTTCCGTCATGCAGAGTTATGTCTTCAAGTGTCCTCTAAAGTCAAACAGGCCCAGAAGCTGTGAATAATTTGTCTTGCAGAGAAGGTGAGCTGTGTGCCTTTGAAAGCCCTCAGGACTGAATCCTGACAGCTGAACTTCCTCAACCCTCTTCATCAGTCCTGACACGCGACTCAGCCACGCTTTTACCTTTCAAGTCCTAGAGAGTATAACACCCCTTTCCCTTCTTAAAGGGAGAGAGTTCACCCAAAAATGAATGATCTGTCATCATTTACTCATCCTCATGTTTTCATACATTGACTTGCTTTCTTTTTGGAAGAACATTTATAATCTTCTGAAGTTAAGATTTTCAGTCAATAACGAGTTCAATTTTGATCTGTTTATTGTATGACTTCAAACAACTTGGAACACTTTTAAAAATGAAGGTATTTATTGGCATTGATGGTTCTATGAAGAACCTTTATATTTCCATTGTACACAAGGTTCTTTATAGTGGAAAGGGGTAGATTATTAAAATGTTCTTTAAACTAATAAACGGTTCTTTTAAGAAATGTTCACTGAAAGATTCTTTGAGGAAGCAAAAATTGTTCTTTTAATGCATCACTGCAAAAACCACCTTTATTGAGAGCATGAATTATATGAACCATATTCGCCGCTTTTTTGAACCCTCTGACCCCAAATGTTCTTTCAATGCATGGAAAAGAGTTGTGTGAACATCCTTAAAATATTCTCCTTTTGTGTTCCGCAGAAGTAAGTTGTTAGGTTTTGAAACAACATGAAGTTGTGATCACATTTACTGTTATTTGACATAATCGGCATAATAAAATGGCAGAAAGCTGCTTGGTTTGAATATGACTTCTGCGTGAACTGTGCTTCACACATTGCTAGACTGCAACTTTTTCAGCAGCATTGGTTTTTCCATTTATTTCTCCCATAGAGATTTTTTAAAAAGTCTTTTAAAAAGCCACCACAACCAAACCAACCAAACTTTGAAAGCAGCAAACACGTATCTGAAAATCTAATAAAAAGACAAATACACAAGATTGTGTACTTTAATGAGGGGAAACTACAGAAGTTAAGATTTTCAGTCAATAATGAGTTCAATTTTGATCTGTTTATTGTATGACTTCAAACAACTTGGAACACTTTTAAAAATTAAGGTATTTATTGGCATTGATGGTTCTATGAAGAACCTTTATATTTCCATTGTACACAAGGTTCTTTATAGTGGAAAGGGGTAGATTATTAAAATGTTCTTTAAACTAATAAACGGTTCTTTTAAGAAATGTTCACTGAAAGATTCTTTGAGGAAGCAAAAATAGCGTATTTCCTTTAATTCATCGTCAAGTGCGCTTGTTCCTGTTAGGGTCTTCAATCTGGCAACCTGCGTGTGTGTCAAGTCTGAGGGCCCTCTCCAATATTTAGAATTTGGACTGCAATACCTAGTTCAACCACTCTGTGTCAATCCTACATACAGCACCTTAGATCTGTCTTTATAGGTTTATAAGCTAATGATACAATTCAATTGATTAAATGAAGACAATGATTGTTGAATTCTATTGACAATAATTGAAATCATTGAACATTTTCATTACTTGGGTGCATTACATCCTTTTAAGCATCTTTTGGCATTTCAAAAAGTCCCAAATTTGCTTTAAAAAAGATTTCATTTGGACTACAAATAAATGGTTTTTAGGAAGCATAAACTATAAGCTGTAACTGACTATCTTAGGAAAGATGGAGAGGAGACTGGATTATATTTCTAATGATTTTATTTAAATAAGACACAATATTCCTATTATTGAAATAAAGAAACAATTAGCCGATTGTGGCTAAAAGTTGAAGAAAGTGTGGCTTTTGATACTGTCCCCAGACACGGAGAGTGGGCCTATAACCTTATGCAAGCTTAGCAGTCTCTGCCGCAGGAAAACAATTCAAGCTACAAGGCTTTAAAAATCATTTTCTTGACATGAGAATTGGCTATAGGCAAAGAGTAATCACTATGCGGGTGATAGACTTCCAAAACAGTTCTGTTCTTTCGTCCTTATCTTTCCCCTTCAAATCAAATGACGTCCTCCATTCACACACATATCTGGTTTGTACAGTCACAACAATAAAATGCTTTATTGCCATTGTGTGTGAACAGACAGCAGGTCATCCTGACATTTCACCTGATCTACAAACACATCTCCCACGATGGCCAGCAATGTGCCCTGAAACTGCAGTGCTGGTTTTGATAGCAGTCGATGGCTCCAGAATCACACATGTATGGAATGGAGATGAAATGATGCAGATATTCAAGCATTTAAAACAAAAGAGCATGATTATTGCAAACCCTTCACTTACTAAAATGAGTTTCATCTTTTACTAAACTACTTGGTCTTTTGATATAAGGTGCAGCATAAAAGGTTGCTTTGTTACTTTTAAAGCCTTTCTTATTGATCGTGTAATATTATGTTGGTTGTCAATGGTTGATCGTATGAGATGGGTAAATTAATATCTTTCTATTGATTGCTAAAGCACAATACGTTATTGTTTGACAATATACAAATGTTGCTTTGTGACCAGAAAAGCCTTCACTGACTGTCATTAGTTCCTGGACAAAACGTTAAGTTATTATTCATAATAATCAGTGAAAATCATAAACGCATGCTTTTGTTGTCACAACAGCCAACATACATATAAACATCTATGATAATGTGAATAGATTTGTTTTTTGTTGAACTGCAATGACAACCTTTGGGCATAGATTGATTTCAATATTTGAGGCTTGGCGTTTTATGACTGAAATATATTCTGCTTGTATAAAGCCAAGCTTTTAGGTGAATCTCATCAAAGCTCTCAATTTCATATTTCTCCACAAATAAGAAAGAAAATGCTTAAATGAAATCAACATTTGTTTTAGGCCCATTAGGATATTTTGCATTGTGACATTTTTGACAATTAAATTCATTAATCCTTAAATTTCCATTACCATAATGTGGAAAATATTATTTCGATTAATGCATTATGATTTTTGTTATAATAATTTTTGATGATTTTAATGCATTTGTGGTGGAAATGTTTTGTAAGAATAAAAAAAAAAAAGTCAATGCCAAAAAAGCAAAGTGATTTTAATGGCCCTAGAAATAGCCTGATTTTTTCTTTATTTTAGCGACACATTTCTTTGTGAAATTCACCTTTTTATTTTAGACTATCACCAGCAGCATGTCCTAATAGCATGTTAAAGCTGAAAAAATTCAGCAGATTTTGAGAATAAAGTTGTAAAAGTTACAAGAGATTATGAGAATAAAGTTGCAATGTTACAATAAAAAAAAATTAAAAAACATTATATATACGATTAAGAAATTAAGTGTAAAGTAACAGGAATCATACTCCAGAATGGGGTTTACCAAATAATTGATCTGTCTTTTGGTGTATTTTAATCTCATAATGTTATGATTTTATTCTTGAAACTTAAATTTCATTATTCATATAAAAGGCTTATTATGGTATTTCAAAAAAAAAAAAAAAGTTAAAATTTTATTATCAAAATCACAGTTCCAACATGCCACTTAAACAGTACTGCAATAGACAGAAATGCATCTCACACGCCTCCAACCTGTGATCTGAGCTGTAGTTTGTCTTATTAAATGCTAATATGTGTCATATAGTGACTGTGAGGATGTGTGTCTGATCCATGAGAGCTGTACGATGTCATGTTTCCAACTCGCAGCATGTCCGACCCACTCAAACCTCCCAACATGGAATGTGATGGAACGCAGAGAAGGATGAGACGGAGTTTTACCTGAGTTTAAAGCCCGTGTGATGCACCTGAAGCGAGGTGGGCCGCAGGAGGACACTGTGCAACAAAGTGTGAAAAAACAAAACCTTCAGTACTTTTTCTCGTTCTGCACCATCGCCAGAAAGTAGGAAACCTGGACAGTCGTCAACCCGTGGAGTACAGCTCATTTCCCATAATGCACATAACACAGCAATACACGGTTTTAACTTCAAACAAGCTTTTTCTTTATATATAGACTTCTCGTATATAGATATATTGATAGTGAGAGAGAGCTTATTCATACTGTGGATGTTGAAAGAGAACACGACACATAATTTAATGTTAAACATACGATTAGTTTCAAATGCATGCCCTGACACTAGTAAGACCTTCCTGAAAGCGTCAGTCGTCTTTCTGCTCGTAAATCGGTGGCTTTGCGCTGATTATAGTGCTCATACAAAAGCCACTTTGCTTAAATTTTAAGCACACGACGAAAGCAAAGCTGCGCTTGCTCGGGATCAACCCGGAATCAATCTGACACACAGAAGAAAAAAAAAAAGCAAAACGGGAATATCTGGAATGTGACTGAACTTATCAAATAGGCAAATTCAATAAATAAGATTTCTGTATGAGACTCTCACTCATTTATGGAGATAACAGTGAAGCCATTTGAATTTTGGATTTGCATATTCTAAGGTCCTTTTCCCAAAAACGCATCCTTCAGATGCCCTTCCCGTCCAGACGCCGTACTCCAACCCTTCGGCTGCCTTTGCATTTGTGATTCTCGTTCGGGCCGCAGTTGCTATGCCATGCAGATAGTAAAGATTCAGCACAAAGGTGGGGTCAGGGGGGGGAACAGGAAGTTTGGGGCGGGGAACGAACGGTCCTTTACGCGGGTGCGGAGCGGCGCGACCGAGACCAGCTCTGCCGCGTTTAGCTGACTTCAAAGCTCTGAGGCTGGGAGGGAGATTCGGGAGGGTCGTCTGTGCTCGTGCTGGTGGAGACCTGAGTGGGCATGTGGTGGTGGTGGTGTGAGCCGCTGGGGCCGGCCTGGCTCTCCTCTTTCTCCTCGTCCTCCTGCTGGGAGCCCGAGTGCTGGAGCTGGGATACCGGGAGCTTGACGGGGCAGAATGCAGAGCCGGTGGAGATGAAGTTGACCTTGTTTTTGTCAGGGCAGGAGAAAAGGGGGACGGTGGCTGACTGTCTGGACCTGAGAAAGACAGGAAAGCGATTTAGGAGAATGTTCTAAATGGAATACTAATGCACACAGTATGTACCACAGCTCAGCATTAAGATTCATAGGAACTATCATTCGCCCTTTTAAGCCATTGTTGAGTTCTCACAATATAGGTGTGTATTTTGTATATTGTGATTTATTGAACATTGCTGCTGTGATGTGCCATAGCATATATTTGACCCTGGACCACAAAACCAGTCATAAGGGTCAATTTTTCAAAATTGAGATTTATACATCATCTGAAAGCTGAATAAATAAGCTCTCCATTGATGCATTGATGTATGGTTTGTTAGGATAGGATAATATTTGGCCGAGACACAACTATTTGAAAATCTGGAATCTGAGGGTGCAAAAAAATCTAAATATTGAGAAAATCGCCTTTAAAGTTGTCCAAATGAAGTCCTTAGCAATGCATGTTACTAATCAAAAATTAAGTTTTAATATATTTACAGTAGGGAATTTACAAAATATCTTCATGGAACATGATCTTTACTTAATATCCTAATGATTTTTGGCATAAAAGAAAAATCGATAATTTTGTCCCATACAATGTGTTTTTGGCTTTTGCTACAAATATACCCCAGCGACCTAAGACTGGGTTTGTGCTCCAGGGTCACAAATATACCAGAAACAAATATGCATTAATTTTTCCCATTTTAAATCCAGTTTCCACGTAAAAATTTTCTTTTGACAATTCATGACATGATGATTGATATTCTGGTTGATGCATCCCTCTCATCAGAGTATCCAATGCATACGCTGTGCACATTACACATACTGCATGCTAACAGTAGCAGAATGGCAGTGTGCTATTTTAGGCTCACTACTACAGAAATCAAACTCCACTCACGTCATTTCCTCAAACACTTTGATCTTCTCACAGCCCTCTGGAGGCTCCCGTTTGAACATGTAGCTGTTGTTGGGTTTTGGGGACGAGGCGAATTTAGGCAGAGGAGAACTGCTGCCGCTGTCTGCAGGACAGAATAACAAACATCCAATAACTCTCTGGATTAATATGTACACCTCTCATGATAGAATACTGCAAACTTGAAACTGCTCTTTGACCGACAATCTGTCTTGGCCTCCAGTCCAGTGTGCAGGTCTGACCTTTGTCTCTGTCGTCCAGCATCTCGTCGGTGGAGTAAGGGCTGCCGTCATGTGAGCGGGGCGGGCATGCGGGCGAGGGGCAGGGCGACAGGCTCGAGCAGCTGCTGGAGCGTCCAGGCACTGATGGCGTCTGAGTGTCTATACCACGACTGCTGCTGCTGCGCTGCTGAGGAGGAAACGGAGCCCGTCGCCCGTCAGGAACCTCCAGCGCCTGAGAGACAGTCAGAGAGAGACTCTGAACAATCACAAGTTTGGACACATTTCACTATAGTTAGACTACCGTTCAAAAGTTTGGGTCTTGAAAGAACGTAATGCTTTTACTCAGCATGAGTGCATTAAACGAATCAAAAGTAACAGTAAAGACTCTTATAATGTTAGAAAAAGTTTCTATTTCAAATAAATGCTGTTCATTTGAACTTCCTATTCATCAAAGAACCCGGGAAAAAATCCACAAAAATATGAAGCAGCACACTGGTTTTCAACATTGATAATTAGAAATGTTTCTTGAGCAGCAAATCAGCCTATTAGAGTGATTTCTGGAGGATCATGTGACACTGAAGACTGGAGTAATGATGCTGAAAATTCAGCTTTGATTAATAGGAATAAATTACATTTTAAAATGTATTAAAATAGGAAACCGTTATTTTAAATTGTAATAATATTTCACAATATCACAGTTTTTTGTGCATTTTTGATCAATTATATAGAGCATTGAAGAGACTTCTTTAAAAAAAAAAATTTTTTTTTTAATAAAACGGATAGTTCCGGTCCTTGATTCTGATTGGCTGAGCCACGTTCGAAGCTGTTGTAAATTACTCTACAAACATACACCTTTGTTTACATTTGTCTGTTGCTTGGCAACCACTTTGTTGCAACCATAGACGTATATACACGTAGATGCTCATTAGCGACTGCTTCTATGTGCCACTATACTTAAGCCGTCTGCCATATTGTAACGGTCAACTTGACGTCATTCACCGTAGTAATCACTGAATATTCGAAAGATGCCACAATCCTGCACAGAACGGCTCAACGGTTCTGTGAGAACCTACAGTATGGTGAATGACGTCAAGTTGTCCGTTCCAAGATGGCGGCCGCATCTACGTGCCAGGAGCCATCGAAATGGGGCATCTATACATATCATTATTTTGTGTATTTGGTGTAACAGAATATGTTGGCATGCTTTAATGTTCAAAAAACACATTATTTTTCAAATACTGTACATTATTGTAGGTCCTCTATGCCCCGACTCTCTCAAACGCTTTGTTTTCTACAAAGTCCCTCCTTCCGACAAGCGCAGTCTGCTCTGATTGGCCAGCTGACCCAGTGCATTGTGATTGGCCGAACACCGCAAGCACTCGTCGGAAATGTAATGCCCCTTTCCATAATCACGAGCTTCATCTTTCAAAATAAATGTAAATTCCGGAAGGCCAAATAAAGTACTTTTGCTTTCGCCTAGAAACACACAGCGTCTCCCTGACATGCTGCTTCAACACTAACTGCGGTTACTGAAACCACGCCTTCTTTCTTTGCGTGAACCTTTGGGCACATTATGCTAATATTTCCACATAGTGAGGTAGATATGTGGGGGCGTGTTAGAATGAGCCGTTTTAGGGGGGCGTGGCAGAGTCTTAACTTTGATAAAGAATATCTCTTTGGTTTTGAGACTTTAGTCTTTGCAACTTCAGGGATCTTATCTATGCACAATCAGCTTGTAACACTCCAAAGAGAAAGCAAAACTTGAAATCGCATCATATGACCCCTTTAAGTACAGTATAAAAATATAAAACATCTATATTTTTTCACCAAATCTGCCACTGTACTCAATATGCATTTGTTTTTCATGCTAAACATTTGTACGTAATGTGATTATGTCTTTAGGAGTGTGCCTGCACCTTGAGCTCCTCTTTCTCGCCGTTGTCTTTGATGAAGACTTTCTCCAGCTCATGGTTGATGCCCTCCATGCTGCTGGGAACCCTGGAGATGGAGGCCTTTGGCACTGTGATGTTGGACAGCGGCACCTGTGCTGACTTCGACATGGATGACTGAACACGGAGACGACACAAATTCACATTTAACTAACTGCACAGAATTTGCTGGATGCGTTTAGTGCATACACTGATGTAATGTGTGCGGACCGGAGCTTGGCTGGCTGTGCTGATGGTAGAGGCAGTAATGGAGGTGCTGCTGCTACAGCAGTGGAGGGGGGAGAGACGCTCTTTACTGTCCTTACACTGCCGGCCTCCGCTCTGCTTACTGCGCTGCAGCTGGAGCCTGAGCTTAGCGATCTGAACGTCAAAGAGAGAGAAACATTTATTCTAAAGTGACGGATACAGATACACACATACAATATATGATATAATAAAATAAATACATATATGTGTGTGTATAGATGAGACCGAGAGAGGGGCACAGAATTGGCTAAAGACCTCAAGCTAGGACTCAAACTCAGGTCACATGAAGCACAGCTGTGAGTGCTATCCATCCCAAATCTATATGACATGGCCAAAATAAAAAACATAAATAAATAAAAAAACTAAATAATAATAATAATAATATTACAAATAAAAGGCCCAGTACTGCTAAATGTCAGAGTGTTGCCCATAGTCCCCTTTGGTCTTCCATAATGATCAATATAACCATGTATGGTGAAAAAAATAAAATAAATACAAGACAAAAGTAGAAATAAAAGAAAAAATAAATAAAATAAAAATACTGGGGGGAAAAAACACAAAGTAAAATGGGTAAAACACAAAATAATAATAATAATAGAAAACATAAATGTGATAAATAAAAATAAAAGGCACAGTTTTGCTAAATGTCAGACTTTAGCCCACAGTCCCCTTTGGTCTTCCGTAGTAATCAATATTATCATATATGGTCTGCCCCCCCCCCAAAAAAAAACAATATATAAATTCATTAAAATTAATTAATTAAAAAATATAAAAATTAATAAAAAAAAAAACAAGTAAAAATTATATAAATTATATAATAATAATAAAATAAAAACAAGGTAAAATAATAAAACAAAACATAAGTAATAAAAATAAAAGGTGCAGTTTTGCTAAATGTCAGAGTGTTGCCTATAAGACTATATGGCACAGACAGAATAAAAGAAACAGCAAAATATAAGAAAAAATACAAAACAAACAAACAAATAAAAATAATATCTTGAATTGACCTGAGTGCTAGCTGTAACTCCACATGGCCACAAGAGGTCAGTGCAAAACAGGCAGCCATGAGAGTCTTTTACTCATACAGCACTGATAAAAATAGCACATGTATTCCCTGATGTATTAAGATTGGTTACCCACAGTAAAAAGAATGACAAGAAATAAATGATATTGAATCTACAACAAAAATAGCAAACTGATATTTAACCCTCATTCCTCGCGTCTCATTGTGACATGCCCTGCCTTCTCTTGAGATTTTACTTTTGAGATGAATCTGCAGTAAATGTCAACGTTTACTGTCTGTACGTACTGAGACAATGGAACTAGACTTGTGCGTTCCTACTGAAAATACAAGTAGCTGATGGCTCTTTCTTCACTTGATATTACAGAGCACTGAACTACCTCAGCCTTTCCCTCCACCTCAGTTTACATTACAGATGCCCATGGAGAAACTGTGAAGACATGCAAATGACTTGCTCTTCATTTCCTTCAACCAGGCAGCAAAAAGCCTGAAACATGTGCTGTATTTCAAAAGCAGAGTGAGGAAAGGCAAGCGTTTAGTGGAGATGCCGGCCTTCGCATGAACTGAAATGACACCGTATATGCTCAGCGATAACAAGGGGAAATCCTGAATGTGCTCTCTTGTAAAGCCCTGCTAAGTATGTCAATATACACAACCTAAATCCACTTAAGAGGTGTAAGGGCTTATAAGCCACTAAGTGGAAGCACTTGACGTGAACCTGGATAAAAATGTGGATACTGAGGACATGGACTTCCCAGATGCAGGGAAGGAAAGCAGGCCTAAACAGCCTTTTGTTGGAAAATCTCCCAAATTGGAAACAGTGCCATGATTCAGGGCTTGCAGAATGAGCTCGCTGTGATGAGCTCCTAAGAAGCCTCTGTTATGAACTCTCTAATATGAACACAGTCCTGTGGCTGGAAACTGTGTGCAAGCAGGCAAAATGACATCTTCACATAAGAATGTAGTAAGAAAAAAAAAGAATAAATATAAGGGTGCATGCATCACAAAAATGGTTACTTTGGTGTCCCAAGAATTTAAGCATTAGAGGAAAAAAATGGTTTAAAAAAAAATCATAATTTTGTTATGATACCTATTAGATACGTTTAATAAATAGCATAAAATTCAGCTAGCATGAAAACTACTTAGTATTAAACACATTTATCCCACCTTAAAATGGAGATTTGTAGCCTGTCCCACATCAGAGGTCTTGACCTTCTTTGGTTGTATGTAATAATTACAACAAAATAAAATAATAAAATATTTGAAAAATCTATTGATAGATTGATCTTACTGGCAGGAGGTTTTGGTGATGAAACTGACTGCTCTCTTCTACAGTGTATTTGGGTAACATATCAGCTCATTTGATAGTGAAAGCTAAGTATCTATTAAAGACACTATTAGAAGCAGCAAGAAGGCTGTAATACCTCCAACAAAGACTGACTGGATGGAGAATTACTTTTTCAGTCTGTCTACTTCAGTCTCAGTCTATGGATGGACAAATATTTCCAATTCTGGGAAAAATGGATGGTGTTTATGACTTCACAACACTGACCACTGCTTGATCTGACATTTATTTCAATCAATATAACTTATGGATGGATGCACAGGTGTCCATTTCTGTTGTTTTTGCATGTTGTGTGTGTGTGTGTGTGTGTGTGTGTGTGAAAATCTGTTGAAGTGACAGATTGGTCTTGACCTTCGACTGTAACAATTAATATAAAACAACAAAAATATTTGCATCTATTAAACTGAAAATAATTATATATATATATATATACACACATACACACACAACTGAACAAAATTATAAATGCAACACTTTTGTTTTTGCCCCCATTTTTCATGAGCTGAACTCAAAGATCTAAGACTTTTTCCTGTGTACACAAAAGGCCTGTTTCTCTCAAATATTGTTCACAAATCTGTCTAAATCTGTGTTAGTGAGCACTTCTCCTTTGCCGAGATAATCCATCCACCTCACAGGTGTGGCATATCAAGATGCTGATTAGACCGCATGATTATTGCACAGGTGTGCCTTAGGCTGGCCACAATAAAAGGCCACTCTAAAATGTGCAGTTTTACTGTTCTCAGGTTGTTACTGTGGAATGTTAGTCCACTCCTCTTCAATGGCTGTGCGAAGTTGCTGGATATTGGCTGGAACTGGAACACTGGAACA